CAAGCCAACCAGAATCCAATTAACCCGGCCAGGTGATAAGGTCCTTCTTAAAAATTCCAAAACATCTGGAAAACTGGATCCAAAGTTTGAAACCAAACCATACATTGTTCAAACTAAAGAAGGACAGGAACTAACTGTCAAGTCGGACGAAGTTGTAGTGTACAGGCGAGACATTTCATTTGTGAAACCCTATCAAGAACCAGGAGTGCAAGAAACCGTTACGGAGTCTGAAAGATCTGAAGATACAGCTGTATCACCTACGAAAGACGGTAATCCTGTTGCAGTGCCAATAAGCAGACCATCCCGAGTGAGAAAATTACCAGACAAGTTCAAGGATTTTGTGTTGAACACTGTAAGATAACTTAGTATAATGTAGATTTTTATATAGTATAAGTATGTAACTGAACTTCGTGGGAGTATAAAACTTAATTAATTTCGAACAGTTGATAACATATAAAAGTACTTTAAAGTTCATATTTCGCATTTGCAGATGGTAGGTTTTGTTTGTACAAAGGAAGGGAATGTAGTGTTTACTATATTGTTGTAACATGAAGTATAAAAAAAGATGAGGAATCCAAGATGGCGTTTTAGTAAATATACGTGTTCAGTAAATTGTTTATGTTTAATCGAGTTCAATCTGTTGTTTTATCGGGATACACACTATACGCGACGCTTCAAACAGTCCTCAGGTCTGTCCAGTCAGGCACCTCGAACAAAGACCTTGGTCTCTTTTTTAGCCATCGAAACGAATTTCCTTCTCTGACGGGGTCCTGCTTAGAAATAACCGCATAGTTATCCCTCGGTCTCTACAACAAAGAGTTCTCGAGCTTGCTCACCAGGGGCACCAAGGCATAGCTAAGACGAAAGCCCGTTTGCGTACTAAGGTATGGTGGCCGAGAATTTCCACGGAAGCGGAAACATTCTTAAAACGGTGCTAGCCTTGTGTTGTAGCGCATGAGCCAACAAAACCTAGTTTCACCCCACTGAAACCCACCACCCTCCCAAAAGCAGCCTGGTTATTGATAGAGATGGATTTTGTAGGCCCATTTCCCACCGGAGAAAATCTGTTGGTGATAGTCGACTATTATGGTCGATATCCCGAAGTAGAAATCATGAAGCACATCACGACTGCCGTCCTGGAACCGCGCCTTCGTCGAATTTTTGCACGATACGGAGTACCCCAGGAAATTGTCACGGACAATGCCAAAACATTCCGGTCATCCAGGTTCTCTAACCTTATGAGAGAATTTAGTATCAAGCACAAAAAATAACTCCCCGGTATCCACGTGCGAATGGCGAAGCAGAACGGCTAAATCGCAGTATCAACAAAGTGGTCCAAACCGCAATAGCCGAGTCACGGGATTGGCGAAAGACCATCGACGCTTGGCTGTTGGCCTGTCGTACCACGCCTCATATGGTCACCGGCCAGCCACCAGCAGCCATGATGTTCGAACGAAACGTCAACGACAAGCTTCCATCACTACCGCCGTCAGCGCCCATAAAGATCCACCGTATGTCATACCGACAGCACGACGCCAACAACAAGCAAAAGCGAAAGTGCTACCACGACATTAAGAAGAAAGTGCAGCCCAGTTCAATTAAAGTCGGCGATCAGGTCCTTATCCGTTCGGAAAAGAAAGGCAAAGTAGCACTACCGTGGCGTGCCAATACGTTTCGTGTCACCGCCGTCAAGGGTGACTCCATCCTAATAGAAGATGGAAATCACCGCCTCATGCGCCACTCTACGGCTGTTAAGAAAGTGCCAATAACAGTTACAACTGCCCCAGATGTTCCAACAACACCTCCAGAAGCAATTGTTGCTCAACGACCTCGTCGCTCCATAAAACGACAACCAGACTTAATCGGTTATAGTTCTACCGCATGATAGGTTTCTAATCCATGAAGGGGAGAACTGTAGTGACTGACAATGACCGCTGACTACATGGACGGGGATATGAAACTATGGGAGGGAGGGCATGTGTTAGGAAAACAATCGAACGGACTAGAAAGTTATTGTAAAGTTTATGTTCACGTTATGATTCATTATTATGTTGTATGTATAAAATAAAGGACACAGCAACAATCACACTTTAACATTTTTCACGTCCTTATTGACTATCTCTTCTGGTTAATTTAATGTTTTGCCCACAGCTGTAAGGCTGGTATCATCTGCAAACATCCTTGGTGTTGCATGTTTGAGACAATTTGGCAAATCATTTATATAGATAATAAACAGAAGAGGGCAAAGTATACTTCCCTGAGGGATGCCGCAAGTTATTCCTCTCTGATCTAAAAGCATTCCATTTAGTTGACATCTCTGTGTTCGATTTGCTAAGTAGTTACTTAGTAAATCTAGGGCTTTATTACGAAAGCGATATCGTTCGAACTTACATAAAAGAATTTCATGGTTGACAGTATCGAATTCTTTCTTTAAATTGAAAAGAACAACTATGTTGTATAGGCCATGGTCCATGTTAATATACCGTTCATTAGTACAATCTAAAAGTGTGGTAGTTGTGGAATGAATTAAATTGTCTAAAGGCAGTTGCGGAAAAAATTGTCTAAAACCATACATTTGCCATCTTTTGTTTTCGTTCATCATGAGGCAATCATGTTGCCTTTGACTAGGATGACCGACTTGACAACCATTGCAGGATTCCACACAAATTCTTTCAACTTCATGTGCGACTGCATTCGCATATGTCCCTTCCAATAGATTGTAAGATGTGGCATTTCCATGCAAACACTCCATAGTATGGTTTCGACAGCGAAATGATTCTCAAACGAATTTATACACATATATAGCAGGCGTTGTCTTTTGTAATGAAAATACTGACCTCAGCTATTGGTTATGTAAGTTCTTATTGCCAATCACAGTAAACCAATCTTAATCCTTTTATTGTATCACACACGTGGAGGGACGCTAAAAATGCCTAGTCGGCAAGTTTTGCCCGATCTTGTCTAGGCTCGCCGCGTGTTATGAAATATGTTAATGATGACGCGCCACCACAGTCTATGCTAATGATGATGCGCCATCACAGTGTATGCTAATGATGATGCGCCACCACAAGCCACCACAAAATCCTGATCGATCGGTACCTACTATACTACAAGTGTACATCCTCTCCTTGATACAACGAAATAAGTTGTAGTAATTTCAGTTCGGTCTTCTTAATTAGCACTCCTTTGCATTTTATGTCATTAAACTTCACAGGGACAGCTAATTACTTACAACTTCGTTGGAAAGGGAAGCTGAGCATGTTTTGCGTTAAAATTAAAATTAAAGCAACAAAATTCATAAACATCAAAGATTCAAAACAAAGTTGCCCTATATTTTACGATTTTCCATCGTAAATCAATTTTCTTTTCTTGAATGAATTGTTAATTGAATCCATGCAACATGTCATATTTTGGAAGCACAGTGCCAAGACATGTGCGTTCTGGAAGGTGTCTTTAATTAAATGGAAATAATTTAAAAAACAATTAAACCAAGTCATAGAACAATATTCGCAGCGGCAATTTGTTAGAAAAATTTATGTTTTACCATAAGGGACCGGTCATTATTTACACCCGGTGTTGGGGCCGAAGAGAAACTATTTTTATTCAAAATTTTTACCCAACCAACTTAAGCCCAGAAAAATAAAATACCCAACCGTCTTATGGTTAATTTTTTTTTACCCAACCCTAGGAAAAAATAATGTTTATTAAATGTGTTTAATACTAACTTACGACAATGGGCCATTCCATTTAATATAGGCACCCCCCTATTGAGGGGTCCCTTCATAATCCCCTTAGGATATAAAAATTTTAGAACCCCCTTGGATGCAATTTTTGGAAGTTACCCCATGGATTTCTTTATGCGCCCTTTAGGATATCGTTTTTACCCCCTTGGATATCACTAAAACACCTAATTCTTGCTATTTTTTTGAAAGTTTCTTAAGCTAACCTCTAGGAAATTTTAAGGTAAAAACCCCCTCCCCTCCCATAGGATATCCATACCCCTCAATGGGGGTGCCTATATTAAATGGAATGGCCCAATACTGCATATTGACAAACCCATTAATTTGTTTACTGTATTGGTCATTGTAAATCCGACAAAGCCCAATTTCCAGCATATTGTCAAGAACTGGATCACGAGTTTGTTCCCGTTCACCTTCAGATTCATCTCTAGTCTCAAACACCTAAACCCAAACTCTTCCAAAACAAGATCCTGCTCAATTTCTCCATCACTGCCATTGCTCCTCTGGTCTATGTGTAGCTGCTCCAAAGCGTGTTCAGTAGACCTGGCAATGCTGGCACGACTCTTCCATAATACATCTCTGTGATTGCACTCTATTTATCCTTTTTCTTGCCTTTTTTGCTCAAGTTGTGTTTATTAATGTACTTTACTACTTGTGCAATTCTTGAAAGATGGTCATAATTAATATCGACGACACCCGAAGTATCCGACCGGATTCCGAACATGAATCGATAAAAACAACATGGCTGAAGAAGACGAATTTGAAAGCTTTCTGAAGTCGTGATTTTTTTCTGTGTCGGTGTATTATAGTGAAGTCGGTTATTAATCTGGCTGAGGGGTATTTGGAAAGATTTAAGGTTACTGGTTTCAACGATATTGAGCTTATTAAATCACTAGAATCGGGGGAACAGAGGCAGATGTTTCACCTGATCGACCTGATGGGTTTTATCGGCAAAACGCGGGCATCTGCTGAAGTTTAAGAAGGCTCTGGCTACATATTCTCGCAATCCTGACAATCCAGCAACACAATTAATTGAAAATAGTGTTCAAAACCCTGTAGCTCAGAAGAAGGTTCAAAGAAGTATGATTATTACTCATTGTTGTGTTCTGTGCGTTCCCATGTCTAAAATGGCTAGTATGTATCCAAAATCCAATGTGTTACTTGCAACTTTAGCCTCAGGTATCTGAATCATTTTCATGATATCTTTCCAGTAAAGAACTACATCGGTATATGTGAATGCAACTACCACCTAGATTTATTTCAGCTAGAGGATGTGTGTAAGAGCCAAAGAGCATTAGACCACACTAAGACCACTATCAACAAAATTAATAAGGACAAAGGTAAACTATTATTAAATCGCAAGAAAGAACTGTATGGGGACAACCTAGAGCCCAAGAAGTGGGTAAGCAATGAAATTGCTTTTGTTCAAGCTATGACAGCCCAGACAGGTGAAATGCTGAAGGAATCGGAGGAAATTGCTAAATAATGATATTGAACACATAAACAATCAGTTAAGGAAAAGGTTGGATGCTGCCTCTGTCGACAACTATGAGGAAAAGAGAAAAATGAAGAGAGCCAAAGAATAAAAATCAAAGGCAAAAAAGAAAAGGAGCATTGTGGCTGCCAGATGTGAAGTAGACCTTGAAAGCGACATGTCAAGTGATGATATGCCAATTGACATTTTAGATGATTAAACTGTTTTTATCGTTTTTATAGGGTCTATAAAAATTAGTCTACTTTTATATTAAATAAATAAATAAATGCTGCCAATTTTTTTTTTACCCAACCTTTAAGAGCTATAAAATTTTTTTACCCAACCCATGATGTCTTAGAATTTTCAGTTACCCAACCATTTTGTCTTCGGCCCCAACCCCGGGTGTAAATAATGACCGGTCCCTAAGCAGCCAAAAATGCGTGTAGAATGCACCAAATGAATCAAATGCCAAAATACAAGAAGCTCGCCACATTCCTCTGTCATTTAGCGCGCGCCGCCAAGCACTCCATGAAAAGTATTGTTTATATACAGCTAACTAAAAAAAGGTTCTCCTTTGCAAACCTTAAACTCTAAACCTTAAACCTTAATCTCTAAGCGTGCAAAGCATAATGGGAGTATCATGTAATCAGTTTAAAAATCGTATATAGGGCCCATTTCTTAGAGATATGTTAAATATCTCCTTCCGAGAACAATTTATTCACAAATAGCTACAATATTTAACCACTAAGCTTGAAACTTGTGCTTCATTAAGCTTAACGGCTTAGAGTTCAAGGTTTAAGGTTTGATATATTTATTATAATACTGTATATATTTAATTATGTATATAAGCCGACGAACATACGATTTCCACACAAAGCAAAATACTTTGCACACGTACACGTAAATAAAACATTATAAAAAGTTATAGCACATTAAACCCTAATAATTCTTCTAACTAATCACAAATAAATGATTTTCAATACTGCAAGGATGATGAAAAATTTGCACAAATTTTCGGTGGTTTCATGAAAACTTTTCGAAAACATGCGGGATGCCAGAGGTTATTGCATTCGTCATATTTAAAAAAAAAATATGTGATTTTATTGGTTGAGAACGTAAACAGTTTATGACGTATTAAGAGTAAGAATTTGGTTTCGGGGGCGGTAGAGTTGAACTACAACATGAAGACTAATAAAAATGCAAAAGCGATTTTCTTCGAAAGATGAAATGGTAGAAACTTTTTACATCCATCCAACAAGAGTAAATAATGTTAGCCATTTAACAATAACATTTTGCGTTCTTGAACAATCAGAATGCCTGACATTCGAAACATATAAACAAAAGGAGTGAGAAAATAACACTTTGTTCTACGCCCTCTGTGCCATTGGATATTAAATTTTATACTCAGAAACTGAAAAATTCTGATAAAGTGTACTCCATTCTTTCATTTCCTCGGGCGGCATTTTTTAAATTCGATCTAGAACGCGAAATATTTGTGTTTGAATAACAGTGTTTCGATTGACGCGCGTGAAATAGCAGACTCTCACTTGCACGCACTATCTTATAAAAAAATGGCAGATTTAGAAGTTTAAACCTATTTTCCACACACCACACAGCCGACATGTTTTTAAATATTACCTATCTGATCTCATCTCGCATCGGAAATGCGTCACAACACTGGTCACAACGGTCTAGGATATTTCGGTTGGCGAAATGGGGATTGTCAGCATTCACCAAAGGCTTATTTTTGCTAACAAACTGTTCACGAGGGTTTCGTTCAGTCCGTCTTCTGGTTCGTAGTCAATAGTCATCGGCTGCCTCACTTTCTTAATCGCTTTCGTTCTGTTAAAAGCTAGTTGCCACAGCAAACAGCGTTGACATTTGCTGTCTTTCCAAGACCTTCCAAGATTTGCCAATGTTGTTGCTTGACAAGCTGGCCAATTGCTGATGTTGTCATGTTAGTCAAGATGCAATTCGATGTGAAACGAATGTCCACAACCACGGGAAACGTTCCAAGTTGGATTAACCTTTTTGCAGCCAGGCAAATCGTATCTTCTATCATGACATCTTCTATGATATATTTTAAAGTAAGATTTATATTTTATATTTATCTTCGATATCATTTATAAACAGTACGTCCTTGGAAATTGTTCCAAAATGAGTGTGTAGTAAAGTTAGAACAGTACTCATAATCTCTATTTAGAATTAGCAGTCTTAAGACATCGGAACTGGCAGCTCTTCATCTGCTCAATGGTACATCATAACTATTTAATGTACAATACCAGTCAATGTACATTACCAGCCTCCCAACACAGGATATAAATATCTGGTTTTGTCTCAGTAACCATGCATTTCTCCATGGCCCCACACGTCCTAGATGCGAGCAGGCCGGGATTTATATTGAAAATGAGTGGTTATATTACTACCTTAAAGTGCATATGACATGAATTTTTTTATTTTCTTAAATGAAAGAACTCTTTAAGCTGTAGTGTAACTAATTTTACAGTTTCTTGTTTTTACGGTTTTTTGCAGAGATATTTCAATTTGTATGTAAATGAGTGTGAATATGTCCGCTAGTTTATGACGTCACGTTGGTTGCAAGCTCTTCGAAATGGTTGAATATCACGGCTATCATCCAAGATAATAATTTCTAACTTCACTCACTGGTAAATGTGATGAAATACTGCAATCAACGTGACATCATAAATTAGCGGACATAAAATTGAAATATCTCGGGAACAAACCATAAAAACAAGAAATTGAAAAATAAGTTACACTACAACTTAAAGAGTTATTTCATTTAAGAAAATAAAAAAATTCATGTCATATGTACTCTAAAAAACAAGCAGAAACTCAACCTTTCGAGCGAAAGCCCTTCGTCAAGAGTTTCGGACGAAGGCCCTTCGTCAGGAGTTTGGCTACTAACTCTTGACGAAGGGCCTTCGCTCGAAACGTCGAGTTTCTGCTTGTTTTTTAAGGTAGTAATATAACAACTCAGCACAGCATTTTCACATTGGTACTACCTACACTGGTACAGACAGTTTGGGGATTTATATTGTCTGTTATTGTGTTGCATAGTTCGCCATAATCACAGGATATTATTAATGTTAAGATTTGTCTACCAATTTACTGCCTTTTTTGAAATTGAAGATCTTTAAAAGCATTATATTATTTGCAGGCACACCAATTGTGGCAATTGGTCTGTCTTTGTGTTACTTTAAGTGTTCCCTGGTTCCAGAGGCTCTTTTCGAGAGACGAGAACGGAGAGCCTCTGGTCACATCAGGGCAGTACGCAGGATTTTTTCAGCAGAGGGCAGTAAGGCCTATACAGTATGTCAAAAAACGTCCCAAATATCCAAAGAATAATTCATCAGCGACCGCGGAGTAGTTTTTTGATTGGGCGGGCTAGCGAACGCCGAAGGCGTGAGCCTTCTGGGGGGGGGGGGG